CTTCGCAACCCAGCGCTCAACCGCTGCGCCATCGGGGAGGCCCTGTTTTTTCTTTTTTTAAGTTGAATTGAGCTTTTAAATATATCTTGGGTATTAATCCTTTATCAATTGTATATTGTGGAAATATTTTCTCCCGTTCAATATGGTGTCTTTTCAATTGTCTTTTTGTGTGTGTGTGCTGTGTAGGACCTTTCTAACTTGAGATAATCCTAATTTTTTAAAAAGCATTTATTTATTTATTTATTTGTTTATTTATTTATTTATTTATGCAAGCACTGGATATAGTCAATAGCACGGGAGGGTTGGAGAATTCACCAGAGCCAGAGCAGGGGGCAGAACAGGCAGAAGGACCGAAGTACACTGCTGAGGGGAGCAGCGGGCAGCAGGAGAGGTCTGCGCGCCATGTGGGACCCTCGCCCTGGCTCAACCGCTGCGCCACCAGGGGAGGCCAAGAGATAATCCTAATTTGTTTATTTTATTTCCTTTGCCTTATGGGGTGGTGGACTGAAAAAGTTTTTTTGATGTCATGGATCCTATCCCCAATAGTATGTGTTTTATTATGGCAAGTCTTCTATCTAAATCTTTAAACCATTTTGAGTTTATTTTTGTATATAAAGCTTGTAAATGATCCAATTTCATTCTTTTATCTGTGGCTTTCCACAATTCCAGCAGCATTTTCTATTTTTTATCTTTGGGGTTGCATTTTTGCCCTACCAATGTGCATACGTTCCACTCAACCTCCACCAGTCCCCCTGTGCCTCTAGCCCACTGCTTCCCTCCTTCATCCTCTCCCTCCCAGTGTTCCCTCTGGTGACCATTCTATTCTTTAACTAAATTCAAGATCTATTTCTACTCTTTTTGCTTGTGTATTTTTGTTGTTGTTTATGTTCTGAAGGTGAATGAAAGCTCTGATACCCGCCTTTCACTTTTTGACTAATTTCACTTAATCACTCTGTCCATCCATCTTGTTCCAAATGCCACTATGCTTCTCTTTTTCATAGCTGTGTAGTACTCCATCGAGTAGATGATCCACAGTTTATTTGTCCATTGGTCTGTCGAAGGGCACTTGGGTGGGCTCAGTGACCTGGCAGTTGTGGACAGTGCTGCTCAGCCACAGGTGCAGATAAATCTTTTTGTATTAGTTTTCATATTATTTGGATAAATAACAAATGGGGGCATGGGGTACTGCTGGCTCGTACAGAATTCCCATTTTTATTTTCTCAGCAGTGTTCCATCCCAGTTTTCACAGGGGCTGCACAAACTTGTCTTCCCAGCAGCCATGGATGAGTGTTCTTTTCCCAGCAGCCTCACCCACATCTGTTGGTTCTGTTGTTTTGTTTTTTTTTTTTTTTAAGAGGCATGTTATTTATTTATTTATTTGTTTGTTTGTTTATGCATGCACTGGGTACAGTCAGAAGCGCGGGAGGGTGAGAGAATTCACCAGAGCCAGAGCGGGGAGCAGAGCAGGCAGAAAGACCAAAGTACACTGCTGAGGGGAGCAGCGGGCGGCAGGAGGGGTCTGTGCGCCATGTGGGACCCTCCTCTGGTGGCCGGGGAGCAGCCGGGGATTGAACTGGCGCCGCGGAGGCTGCGGGCAACTTCGCAACCCAGTGCTCAACCGCTGCGCCACTGAGGAGGCCCGGTTCTGTTGTTTTTTATATGAGCCGTTCTCATGGTGAGGTGGGGTCTCAGTGTGGTTTTAATTTCCTTTATAATAAGGGACGTTAGGTAAACAGTTTTTCATGTGTCTGTGGGCCACCTGAGTGTCACCTTCAGAAAGTGTCTAGGTCCTCCGCCTGTGTTTTGATTGGGCTGTTTCTTTGTTGTTGGGTTGTGTAAGAACTTTGTACATTTTGGAGATTAGCCCCTTTCTGAGATCTGTGATATGCAAATATTTTTCCCATTCTGTAGGTTGTCTTTTTTTTTTTTTTTTTTTATGAGTTCGTTTTGCGGTACGATGGCTTTGAATTGGATGCGGCCCCACTTGTTTACGTTTGCTTTGGTTTCCCTTGCCATCGGGGTTGAGTCCCCAAGCACATCTCTGTATTTGTGGCCTGTAGTGTGTCCCCGGTGTTTTCTTTCAAGTACGTTGTGGTTTTGGAGCTTGCGCCCGGGCCTTTCATCCGTTTTGAATTAGTTTTCTGTATGGAGTTAAGTACGGCTCCTGGTCGAGGTTTTTGCAAGTGGCTCTCCGTGTTCCCTGCACCGTTACCAGAGAGGCCTCTCGTGTGGGGAGGAAGAAGGCGGTCCTCCGGGCGGGGCCCTGGCTCCTGGGTCCTGAAGGCAGCTGTCCACACTGTGGGTTTGTGTCCGGCCTTTCTGCTCCACCGCTGTGGTCTGTCTCAGTGTTTGTTCCAGGACCTACTGTTTTGAGAGCTGTTGCCGTGTGATGACAGTTTGAAGGCAGGAAGTGTTGTGATACCTGCATTTGTCGTCTTCTCTCAGGAGTGTTTTCTATTCTGGGCTGTTGTGGTTTCATATCAACTTGATAATTGTTGAATGGCCTTGAAAAAATCATCAGTATTTTGATAGGTATTGCCTTGAATCTGTAAGTTGCTTTGGTGATAGGGCCATTTTAATGATAAGTCTTCTTACCCAGGAGCCCAGGCTCTTTCCATTTCTTTGTATCTTTGTTTACTTCCTAAGCACTTTTAAAGTTTTTGATATACTGGCCCTTCACCTCTTCGTTACGTTTTCTCCCACTTTTTTTTTTTTTTTTTAAAGATTTATGCATATAAGAACTGGGGTGCAGGCCAGAGGTGCAGGGGGTGAGAGGATTCACCAGAGACAGAGTAGGGAACAGAACAGGCAGATTGACTGAAACAAACTGCTGAGGGGAACAGCAGGGAGACAGGAGAGCCATGTGGGTCAGCTCCCTGGCCAGGGATCGAACTCATGCTGCAGAGGCTGCAGATAGCTTCATAGTGCTGAGACTTAACCCCTGCACCACCAGGGAGGCCGCCCTGATTTTTTTTAAATTGGGTTTGTGTCCTGCCACTTGACTGTGTTCATTAATTATTCAGTAGTTTTTGGTTTCTCTATATCAACATGTCACCTGCAGATAATGAGTTTCACTTCTTTCTAGTTGGATTCCTTTTATGTTTTTTTTCTTGCCTGATTGTTTTGGTGCAGACTACTAGTACTATGCTGAACACTAGTGCTGACAGTGGACATCCTGTCTGGGTCCTGACCTTAGTGGGTGGGCTTCAACGCGTCACCGTCGAGTGTGATGTTGGCTGGGGTGTGTCATGTGTGGCTTTAAATGTTTAGATTAACCCATTTATTCCCATTGAGTGTTTTCATCAATGGATTTGAAATCTCCTTGGAAACTTTTTGGCCTCTATTGAGACTGACATGTGGTTTTTGTCTTCCTTCCTGTTGATCTGGTGGATGGCACCTATTGATTTGTATATGGGAAACCACCCTTGCAGGGCTGAAGCCTATTGGTGGTGGATGACTCTTTTGCTGCATTGCTGTATTCTGTTTGCTGGGTTTTTGTGAGGATTTTTGCACCGATGTTCATTAGGAATACTGGTCTATGCTTTTCTTTTTTTGCATTGTCTTGCTTGCTTTTGGGAGCAAGACAGTGTTAGCCTCATAGTATGTGCTGGGTTGTTTTCCTCTGTCTTTTTTATTAGGGCTTGAGTAGGAGAGGTATTGGATTTTCTTTGAAGATTTGACAGAACTACTTGGAGAAGCCACCTGGCCCTGGGGGTCTCTTCCTAGGGCCACTTTTTATTACTCTATTTCAGCAGTTGTGATTCGGCTTTCTTTTTATTGATGAATTCAGACCATTAACATTTTGGGTGAAGATTGATGAAGATTGATGTAAGATTTTGTTTTGTATTTTTGATAGTTTTAATTTTATATATATTTTGTTTTTATTTGTCCTGCCTACTTTTTCTCAATGGCTTTTCTTACTATTTCTATCCATTTCTTTATCTGTGGTTCTCTATTTTGGATTTTTTTGTTATTGGCTACCTTGGGTTTTTTACTTCTATTTCATTGTCTTTTTTTTTTTTTAAAGATTTACTTATTTATTTTATACAAGCACTGGATACAGTCAGAAGCACAGGAGGGTGAGAGAATTCACCAGAGCCAGAGTGGGGAACAGAACAGGCAGACTGACAAAGTACACTGCTGAGGGGAGCAGCAGGCACGGCAGGAGAGGTCTGCATGCCATGTGGGACCCTCACCGGTTGCCGGGGATGGAACCGGTGCTGCAGAGGCTGTGGGCAGCTTTGCAGCCCAGTGCTCAACCGCTGCACCACCAGGGGAGGCCCTCATTTTTTTAAAAAAAAGTTTTATTTATGCATACCAGAACTGGGGTACAGGTCAGAGGTGAAGGGTGGTGAGAGGATTCACCAGAGACAGAGTGGGGAACAGAACAGGCAGATTGAAATTCACTGCTGAGAGGAGCAGCAGGGGAGTCAGGAGAGGTCTGCTGCACCATGTGGGTAGCTCCCTGCCCGGGGATTGAAGTCATGCTGCAGTGGCTGTGGACAGCTTCATAGGTTGTGTCTTTTTTTTTAATTTATTTTCTTTTTTTTTTTTTTAAGAGTTATTTATTTATTTGTTTGTTTGTTTGTTTATACAAGCACTGGGTACAGTCAGAAGCACGGGAGGGTGAGAGAATTCACCAGAGCCAGAGCAGGGAGCAGAGCAGGCAGTAGGACCCAAGCACACTGCCGAGGGGAGCAGCAGGCAGCAGGAGAGGTCCGCGCGCCATGTGGGACCCTCCTCCGGTGGCTGGGGAGCAGCCAGGGATCGAACCAGCGCCCCAGAGGCCGTGGGCAGCTTCACAACCCAGCGCAACCCAACGCTCAACCACTGCGCCACCAGGGAGACCCGGTTGTGTCTTAATCTCTTGCACCACCAGGGAGGCCCCCCTATTCCACTGTCTTAAGCCCTCGATGAGCCGGTGTCTGCTCTCCTCCAACTGTTCTGCATACAGGTTCAGATAATGGTGATAGTAAAATGTGTTTTGCTCTAAATTTCAGAGAAGTTGGAGAAGATGAGGGATCATGAACGCAATGAAGAAACTTTTACCCCTATGCCTAGCCCATACTACATGGAACTTACCAAACTCTTGCTAAATCAGTAAGTATGGCTGTCCTAGAACCCCCAGGGAAACTGAATCGGGGTTTGATGCCTCACGCCCCCCACCCCTTCGGTCTTGTTTTACCATTACTGCAGAGAGAAACGGTGTGTCGGCTGCAAGATCAGCGCCTTGGGTCATGTGGGCGCACTTGCTCGGCCCTTGCTCTCTTCTGCCCCTGCCCCCTTTCACTCCCTTGGTCTTCCCTCCTCCCCCTGAGGCTGCTGGGCCTGGGGCCCTACTGGGTTTGCTCTTTATTCACAGAGACTGTGACAGTCAGCTGCGTCCTTATTTGTGTTTTCAGAACATTTTCCTTCTTACACGCTACTCTAGAAAAGTGAGTTTTCTTCCTTATTTACTCTTGGACCCTGAAATTGGCAATTACTAGGGTCCCCCACACAGAGACTGATGGCCAGTTGGAGGCTCTGAATAGCGAGCCAGAGGTCGGCTTTCCTGCACGCTGGTATTGAGGAGCCTGTCCTGGCCACTAGCGCTTAGACTTGTGGCCTGCAAGGGCATTTTGCTGTTGTCACTTATGTCTCACTTGTTTCAAAGTAGTGTCCACACTGGGACGGCAGGGGTTTGGGCTGCATGATGGGACTTGGTTCCCTACTTTTGTGGCTCCAGTTGTCCTTTGGGGTCGGGTTGGAATAGGCATCATGGGGCCTTTCCAACCCCATTGCAGAAGCATGCCGTGTCCAGCTGTCCACGCCCGAGCATGGCTGTCTGTGTGAATGAGTGGCCACAGCGAGGGGTTTGCAGGGTAGCAGGTGAGGGACTGTGTGTAGACACTCTCCGAGTGACAGAGGTACTGGGTGGGGGTCAACATGGGGGTGGACAACATGGGCGGACAACATGGGAGTGGGAATACCACCCTCGTGGGTGGAACAGGCAGGACGTGGCCGGGCCCGCCTTGGCCTCCATACCCACTTCCTTCACCCAGATCCCGCCCGCCTCTGCTTCGGCCTACTGCTTGTGACCTCAAGCAGGGTGACAGACCCTAGAGCCATCCTTGGGCTTAAAGGCACCTATCGGGACCTCCCCGAGGGCAGGGCAGGGCAGGCCGTGTGGCCCGTTGTGTTGCTGCACACTTGGAGGTGCTGCCGGACTTCTGTATCCTTTGTCATCACCATAAATACATTCTCTTAGTACAACTCTACCCCTTTATCTTGGGGTATGCACATTGGATTTCTTGTGGGTGTTCGACAGGAACGGCCAGGGGGCTCACGTTTGCACCAAACTCAAGCGGTGCGTCCAGCCCTCTGCGTAAGCCTGTGCCAGTGCCTTCTCGCTTTTGCTGGCTGGTCCTGTTGCCTCAGCTTCTAACCCACACCACGCTGCGGGGGTGTCCTGCCCCCAGCTTTCCAGGGTCCTGGCTGCACTCCTGACCTGGTTTTCCTCTGGGTCTGCCTACCTGTGTCTCCGGGCTCCCCTGGGTTTCACCGGGCCTTGGCATTTACTGCTCTAGCCTTTTTTGGCTTCGCACGCCAGGCGCTCCCTCCCGGGCCACATGCTCTGTCCCCTCTGTGTGTTGTGCACCTCTGCAGCATTTGTCTGTCTTGGATTCGTAGTCACTGGCTGGCTGTGCCCAGTTCCCCACCCCGGCCCTCCATCCCTCCCTCACTGCCCAGCCCTGACAGTGGCCGGGGACGTCTCCTGCACACCTGCACTGCACCTGGCACCATGCCTGTGTTGGACAGATGGATGAATGCAGCTGAGGGACAAGTGTGGGTACTGGTTTGTTTGGTACTTAGAGCACAAGCCTCGAAGGCCTGCCCGGCACCTTTTACTTGCTGGATTCGAGAGCAGACTGGCACAGAAATTGGGGCGGTGTCGACTGCCCGCCGTGGAGAGCCCTGAATGGCACTGCTGATTCAGTGAGGGTCTGGGGCTGCTTCGTGGACTTGAGGTGGACAGTCGCGTAGGCTGGAGTCTCAGATGTGTGAGGGGCGAGGTGACCTGTTCACACTGGCTGTCACACCACAGTGTTTAAAGTGCTGGAGCGAGGGTGTGGTTTGCAGTCCTCATACTGCTGCTGCCAGAGGCCAAGAAGAGCTCAGGGCAGAGTGCGGTGCAGGGAGAAGTCAGGGCATGGCGTGCTGAGGTGGTGCTGCCTTAGTCTGCAGGACAGGAGGGGTTCCCAGGAGAGTGCTGGGGGGTTCTCGTGACCGATGTCGTGACCGGGGGAGTGCCACTCCAAAGGGAGACGGTGTAGGCAGCCGGGCAGGGCCTGATCGTCTGGAGGTACATGCTCAGTAGCTATTAGACCCTTGTTTAATAATTCTATAATCCATTCTGCCAGGGGCCTAATGTTACCTTTGTTCTGTGCTTAACCAGGCGCCTGGGTCCTTGGTTCTTAAATCAGCCCTTCAGATTGTAGGAACCAAATGTTTGGATCTTCAAGTCCACTGTATAAAAAAATCCCATTAAAGCAGAGGCTAGGGGGGCGGGTGGGGGGAGGGGCGGAAGGAGGGAGGGGCCCAGTGACCTTGGTGGAGGACTGTGCGTGCCTTGGCGGTGGGCGGGGTGCGCCTGCACACCCAAAGGGGTGGGATGCCATAGCTGAGTCCTAGCCAGTGTTCTGAAGCACTGTTGTCTTTATTGGAAAGGTCATGTAAGAAAGTCTGTGCTGTGCTGACACTAGCAGATGCTGGTCGTACGGGTCCAAGGTCACCCTTTCGCGTGTGTGAACATCATTTTCCTAGTACCATGTGCTGGAGACACTGTGTGTGAGAGATTTTTACTCCTAGCTAGACATTTTCATACTACGCTATGGTCTCTGTTGCTAAGAGAATAGACCTTACATGTTATTACCACAAGAAAGAAGTGGTAATTATGTGAGGTGATGGAAGTGTTAGCTAACCTGACTGTGGTAATCATTTCACAATAAATGAGTATATCAGATTATCACACGGTGTACCTTAAGAGGGAAATTAAATTGTATTTTAAACTAAAGAAAATTAAATTATTTTTTTTAAAATTTATTTATTTATACAAGCACTGGGTACAGTCAGAAGCGCGGGAGGGTGAGAGAATTCACCAGAGCCAGAGCGGGGAGCAGAGCAGGCAGAAGGACCGAAGGACACTGCTGAGGGGAGCAGCGGGCGGCAGGAGAGGCCTGCGCGCCGTGTGGGACCCTCCTCTGGTGGCCGGGGAGCAGCCGCGGATCGAACCGGCGCTGCAGAGGCTGCGGGCAGCTTCGCAACCCAGCGCTCAACCGCTGCGCCACCGGGGAGGCCCATATAATATATTATTTTAAAAGGCAGTACAATGCCTGGATGAAACAGCCAGGTGACCAGCCTAAGTCACATTGAGTGGCTGAGACTGGATTTCAGTTTAAAAAACCAGATTCTCCATCTATAGACCAGGAGCCAAGTTCAGCCAGCGGAGAGCACTTCTGGTCTGTCCTGGGGCGCCGGTGATGGCGGTGCCAGTGTCTGTGTTTATCTCTAGTCTGTCTTTTCCCTCATAAGCTAGCTGAAGTCTGTCTTACCCAGGAAAGCTGCTCTTACCCCTCGCCCCCTCTGGCCAAAAGTGAGGGAGCTGCTTCTGCTCGTTTGCCCTTTTCTGTGACTTCCTGATTTTCTCTCTGGCGTGGGAGGTGACCTCCCTTGCAGGGTTTGTGAGGCCAGGAGTGGTGGGTGCGGAGCACAGTGCCTGGCACACAGCCCTCGTTCCTCCCTCTGGTGGGCAGTGGGCCCTTGGGTGAGCAGCCACAGGGTGTGAGCTGGAGAAGTCGTGAGGGGAGCCAGCCCTGAAAGGCAGTCACACTGCAAAGTGCACAGTGTGGAGACCCGGTTCTGCAGGAAGGGAGGACGTCTGACTTAGAGCAGCTCCCAGGGAGGCTAGGCCTTCTGCGTAGATGGAGTCCACCCCTGTGGTATGCTGGGCGCGGCGTGGTCGGGCGCCAGAGTCCTCAGTGTGATCACAGCTGGGCTTTGTTGCACCAAACTAAACTGCGAGAAAGTCTTAGTTTTAAAATCACAAGCAAAACAAACTGAGTCTGGAGCAGCTGGGCCTGCAGCCGCCTTCTGGACACTCGCTAACCACCCCTCCCAGCTGGATGGGCTGCAGTTGACCAAGTGCCACCCCACCGGACTTAAGTCATCTGTTGCTTCCTTTAGTGCTTCAGACAACATCCCGAAAGCAGATGAGATCCGGACTCTGATCAAGGACATGTGGGATACGCGCATTGCCAAGCTGCGCGTGTCTGCTGACAGTTTCGTGAGGCAGCAGGAGGCGCATGCCAAGGTGGGTGCCTGCCTGTGCCCCGAGAGCCACAGTGTAGCCAGGATGCAGGCGTGTAGGGGGGCCGAGGCCGATGTCAGCCAGAATCCCATTTGTGCTCGCTGCTTTATTTATTTTTTTTTTAAAGATTGATTTATATATACAAGAACGGGGTTACGGGCCAGAGGTGTGGGGGGTGAGAGGATTCACCAGAGACAGTGGGGAGCAGAACAGGCAGACTGACTGAAATACACTGCTGAGGGGAACAGCAGGGAGACAGGAGAGGTCTGCTGCGCCATGTGGGTAGCTCCCTGGCCGGAGATCGAACTCATGCTGCAGTGGCTGCAGTTAGCTTCATAGGTTGTGTCTTAACCCCCTGCGCCACCAGGGAAGCCCCTCGCTGCTTTATTTATTTTTTAATTTTTTTTATTTTTTAAAGATTTATTTATTTATACATGCACTGGGTACAGTCAGAAGCGCGGGAGGGTGAGAGAATTCACCAGAGCCAGAGCGGGGAGCAGAGCAGGCAGAAGGACCGAAGGACACTGCTGAGGGGAGCAGCGGGCGGCAGGAGAGGTCTGCGCGCCATGTGGGACCCTCCTCCGGTGGCCGGGGAGCAGCCGGGGATCAAACCGGCGCTGCGGAGGCTTCCGGCAGCTTCACAACCCAGCACTCAACCGCTGCGCCACCGGGGAGGCCCTCGCTGCCTTATTTATTTATTTATTTATTTATTTATTTATTTAATTTTTTTTTTAATTTTTCTAGAGGCATGTCTTATTTATTTATTTGTTTGTTTGTTTGTTTATTTATTTATTTATTGTTTGTTTGGTTTATACAAGCACTGGGTACAGTCAGAAGAGCGGGAGGGTGAGAGAATTCACCAGAGCGGGGAGCAGAGCAGGCAGAAGGACCGAAGTACACTGCTGAGGGGAGCAGCGGGCGGCAGGAGAGGTCTGCGCGCCATGTGGGACCCTCCTCCACTGGCCGGGGAGCAGCCGGGGATCGAACCGGCGCCGCAGAGGCCGCGGGCAGCTTCGCAACCCAGCGCTCAACCGCTGCGCCACTGGGGAGGCCTCGCTGCTTTATTTTTAAGGCGTTTTTTTACTTTTGTTCAGCAGATCTTTTTTTCTCAAATTCAAAAATTCTGTGGCCACCCAGTCTGTCTCTTGTGTTCTAGCTGGACAACCTGACCCTGATGGAGATCAACACCAGCGGAGCTTTCCTCACACAAGCGCTCAACCACATGTACAAGCTCCGCACCAGCCTGCAGCCTTCCGAGCACAGCCAGTCCCAGGACTTCTAGAGGAAGGCCCTAGTCTTGGCAGGCTGGCTTTGGCGGGAGGTGTGCACCAGTGTACCACGGAGGGCCTCGCCCTGCTGGAGTTCTGGAACCAACTTCCAATGTGTGAAAAACGGATGGAGCAAGGAAGGCCTTTGTGACCTTGGAAAGCAGCCTTTTTTGTGCTCATTTGTCAGGACGCTCGTTAGTTCCACATCTGTCTCTAGAAAGCAGCTGTTCTTTTTGGGGGGGATGAAAAAAGCTTTTGCCAAACAATATTCTCCCTAGTAGAGCCCCAGGTCTCAAGAGCAGCCTTGTGGACGAGTGCTGCTTTTGAAAGATGCACAGAAGTGGCCGAGAGCTTTTTCTGCCTTCCTGAGCCCTATCTGGGCTAAGTCTAGAATGTTCTACAGTTACTTGTAGAGAGCAGGACGGCTGGTGAGTGGCCAGTGCAGTGTCTCTCAGTCTAAGCCCTGTGCACAATAAAGATGGAATAAACTGCATCTCTTGGGTTTTCTCCCGTGTCACTACCAAGTGGAAGGGGCAAGCCCCGGGACCAGGGTGGCTTCAGGCGACGCCGAGAGCGGGCACAGGCGGGCGTCTGTCTCACGCCAGCTCTCTGGGGCACGTGTTCTCTTGGCCACTTCTGGCGCAGGCCGACAGGGTACTCCGCAGTGTTACAGGTCGGGACACCACCCTAGGAAGGAAAGTCTGGATGGATTTAGGGGAGAAATTCTTTCTTACAGGTAAGGGTGAAGTTCTTTTCTCTAAGGAAAAATTATCAATGGTATCATCTTGGGATTCTACATTCTTTCCTTTTCTTTTTTTTTAGTTATGTCCAAAAGGGCAGGTTTATTATATAAAGAAAGGAAAGGAAAACGCCTGCACAGACGTGGCGGGCAGGCATTGCTGCCCTTGAAGAGACACCCGCGCAGTCACAGGTGGGCAGGCTTGGACGCAGCGCTGCCGGGTGCCACATTCCTGTGGGGACGCCACCCTGAGAGGAGAAACAACTGGCAGTGGGGTGAGGTGAGTGGGGGCCTCTGGGGCCCCGCTGGCCCTTGTCGGGGCTTTGGGAAGGGGTGAACGGCCGATGGCGTGAGTGTGAGGACGTGCCCCAGGCCGCGCTGCCTGCGCTGCAGAGCAGAATGGCTTCCCGGGTCCCCTCTGCTGCCCAGCGTCTCCAGGCGGCTGGCCTGACTCTCGGCCCCGGACGTGGCCCCTTGGAGGGTTCGTTTCCAGGGGACGGTCTTTGCCTTCTTGTTTCCGTGCCCTTCAGATTGATTTTGGGGGAACGGGAGCCTAGTGTCTCATTGTGGAGGGTGAGGAGCTCTGATCTCGCCCCCATACCGTTACCTTGAAACCCTGGCAGTCCCGGTGGACTCTGTCTTAGCATTTCTCTTATAAAGCTGGGATGTTGAGCCTTTTATTTTGGGAGAGTGGGGCGAACTTCTTAGGACACAAAAAAGATTTTCCTGTGAACATGATTTAGGAAGATTTTATTTTTTGGATGTTGGTTGTCAAAAATTACAGCAATATAGTCATAAATACCTAATTACTACATTCAACAAATAATGTTACAATACAGTTAAATCAAACAAGTACACTTAGAACAGGTTTAATTTCACAGCATCTAAACTGCCCCCAGAGTGACCGAGGCACCGTTCCCCTCCCTCCCGAGCACTGGTTGCTGCTCTGGCACGCTAGCGCAGGTGCGTACAGCGGAACACAGCCCACGAGCGCGGGCTCTCTCAGGTCAAGGCAGAGATAAGGGTTTAAAGTGAAGCGCTGGATCAGAAAGTTGGGGACAGGCTACTGGAAGTAGTAAGGACGTCACTAGCTCGGTTACTTGGAAGAGTACACGGGTCATCGCTAAGCGGCTACTATACACTAAGGAACAGGGTCGGCTTGTGCTGACTGTCTCCATCTTGTGGTGGATCCTTGGAATCTCCTACACTTTAAAACACATGGGTCAGAGGGAGCGGGGGTCTTGGCTTTGCTGTTCAGCTTGGTTTTTGGGATTTGGCAGCGCCGTGCGCTACGAGGAGGCCGCCCCGGGTACAGGTGGGCTCCTGCGGGTATTTGGCTTCCCGTGAGGGTGCCGCTACTCGGGTGTTGATGCCAAGTGCTCCACTTCCTTTAGAGACACGGAATGACCCTATCTTGGTCCTTTACTGAGACAGTGGCTGGAGAGCATGACACTTAGGATGTCAGTTTGGCCCCTCCCTACATGAGATCATTTTCCAGTGCGCAGGCGGCAGTGCCAGGTTTGGGGAGAGCTGTCTGGCTCGCAGCTAACGGCCTGATTACATGTGGGCCGCACGCCTCGGCTGTGGACGCGCCCCCAGGCTGTGAAGCCCCTTCTGAGGACAGAAGCAGCAGTCTCACCCCTGGTGTGGTAGGAAGACACGGGGTCGCGAAGCACTGGGGTCTTCACGGGAATACTGACACGAAGGGCGCGTGATCTGTTCTAGAGCAAAACCAGGGAGCGCTTCTAGACTTTGTCTTTTTAACTCAAGGGAAATAGCTGAACACAGAGCTTCAGAGCGCTCACATCTGCTTGTGTCAGGCCCAACTGGAGAGACTCAAATGCTAGCATCTTCCTTCAGAACCCTCTGAGAGCCAGTGTTTTCAAATTATACACGTATCGGAGGGGAAAAGCCAAGCCTGGTTGCTGGGTCTCAGTGCTAGCTTGTTTCCAGAGCGGCTCTCTTACCTTCCTCATAGGTACTCAGGCTGCCTTACAGGTTTAGTCTGATTGTCGTGTTGCTTCTTGAGCCCGGGAATAGTCACAGCCCCCCCCACAGGTGGGGCCGGAGGGCAGTAGGATGGTGGTATGTCGCGTGGCAAGTTACTGCCGCAGCCAGCTCCCGGTAAGGTGCAGCAGCCCCCTGCCCCGCCCCTCCTGGGTCCAAAACCCAACCAAGGGGGTGGCCGGCCAGGGCTGGGCCTGCGCTCTTGCCCACTGGCTCATCTGGTTACTGGGCGTTTCAGCCGAGGCGTGTGGGGGTTTGTGTGGGAGGGCCAGGAGGGAGCACTGGGTGCAACTCTGAAGCCCGCAGACCAGAAGCAGCACGTTCTACCTCGAGAAAGTGCACGGTCGTTTGCCCTGTTGGCAGGAGAGCCCCTCTGCACACCTGTCCCCACCTGTGGTACGTGTTCTTTGTGTCTTGGTAGGGGAGGAGGCCCATAGAACAGCCCTTAGTTCTTCAAGTCATTTCTGTGGAGAGGAAGGCGCTTGTTGACTGCTGATAATACTGGCGGCACTTTTTGTCTGAGTTTGCTAATAACTGGAAGGTTCTTGGCAGACATACAAAGCAAACTGTGTGGGAACAGATAAAGCGACACAGGCCATCTGCCAGCAAGCTGTTCCACACAGCTAAGGTCTGGGGCTGAGGGCACAGCCACCGGTCACAGTGAGCAGCCTTCGTCAAGGTCAGTCGGCCCCACCCTGGCCTGGCCGAAGGGCAAGGGGCATGTGGCTGGGCCTCCTCTCCTGCCCCCTCCCCACAGCAGCTCCTGGCTGCTCTGGGAACCTTCGGGCCAGGGATACTTCTTGAGGTGGATTCACCCTGCCTGAAGGGGCGATCACCGGGACAAGGTGGACACAGCTCCCTGCTCGTCACTGGTAGGCCTGAGAGCAGGCGCTCAGCTCGGAGGGCTGGTCCACCGAGGCCTGGCCAAGGCTCGTGTCTATGCTGTGCCTGGACTCACTGCTGTAGACGCCTGAGAACTGGCTTCCCGCTGCCCTGCCTCTGTGAAGGGCATGCACAGGCCCGCCCTCTTGTCCCACCGGGACGAGCCCCTCCCCAGAGCCGCAGGAGCAGGCGGGAGCAGGAGGAGGTAAGTAAGGCATGGCTTTCTGCATTTCCTGGTGCAACTCAAAAATGAAGTGATCGCATAGGCGCCAGTGGCAAGCTCTTTTAAGTTTTCTTTTTCTTTAATTTTTAAAAACACTTCAATATTTTAATGTCCTGACCAGCAGCAGTACAAACACTAAAAGCAAGGTTTTTTTTTTTTTGCCCAGGAAAACAAAAAAAAAGAAACAAAACCCCTAAACAGGAAAACAAACAAACAAAAATCCCCCCAAACCACATATTAAAAATGGCAGGCTTTTTATAACAATAATTAAAGTAATAAAAACATACAAAACTTTTGTTTTTTAATATATATACACAGTACAAGGCTGAAGCACCTTTGACTTTTCTCTCAAAATGTACGCTTGTATGAAAACGGCAGCGCCGTGGCACAACCGGCGGGCGTGGGCGCAGGTGCACGCGCTACAGCCCCACGCGCGATAAAAAGGTTCCTTCAGTTGTCGCTTTGTCTTGTCTGTAGGTGAGCGCTTTTCCAGGGAGAAGCCTTGGGGGAGGCTTCAGTACTGTCGCTTCGCGTGTGCTCCTATGACTTGTTGCTTTGAAGAGTATGTTGCAGAGCAGGGACTGAAGGAAGTAGGCCCTCGACCTAAAGGCGCCCGGCCAGAGGGGTCCCGTCCTGGGGCGGAGGCCGACCCCCGTGGCAGAAGCGGACGGGGTTCTGGCGGCGGTGCCAGGGGGTGCGGGCGGGACCAGGCCAGGGGTCTGGTCTGACCTCGCGCGCCCGGGGCTGCCAAAGGTAACGGTAGTGTTGGTGAAGGAACCTTCCTTTACAGGGGCCGAAAACCGGGGGAAGAAGGAAGAAACCGCTTCTACGAGGAAGAGGAGGAGGGCGTCCTACGGCGGCTGCTTGCCGAGTCACGAGGGAGTCAGCGGCGCTGGAGCCAAGGTGAGTCCGTTCTGTTTTCTGGAGCCTGGAATTGTTTGCTTCATGCATGGCACATTCTCGTTTCTGTAAGCTTCAAACCTCCAAGTGAAAAATATTAAATATTCAAGGTAATAAAATAGAGAATATTTCTATACTATAGGTTCGGCCTAGTGCAAGGGAAACCGTCACCTAGGGTAACCCTTAAAATAACCCCTAGGCCAATGCATTGCCGGTAACGCAAGGCACTTCCGTAAGTGATCCAGTTCCGCCTGGAGTCGCTCCCTTTCCGAAACAATCTTCTGCTTCTGGCTTCTCAACTCCTAGCGGGCGAAGAGGGGACGAAAGGGCGGGAGCGCGTCCCAGATGGCCAGGGGAGGAGAGAAAAGGGAAGACACCGTGTCACCACACAGCTGGGACCGTCACTTACTTTCCCTTGCCCCGACCCCCTCTGCCCTTCCACCTCGCTCCCCACGCGGCACTGCTGCCCCCGCCCTGGCACAAGTGTCTGGGCTCCTCAGGGCAGGGCTCCCCTCCTGTTCTTGTCTGCACGGGGCGGGGCGCGCCCCCGTCCTGGCCGCACTCACCGCCATGCTATGGGACAGCTGCTCCGCCGTCAGGCTCAGGCTGTAGTGCTGGGCCTCCAGCCGCCGGCACTGCGTCTGCAGCACCTGCCGCTCCAGGTCTTGCTCTGGAAGGACACACGGAGCATTAGTCTCCTCCAGGCAGGGGCACAGGCCCTGGTGCGGCCGGCTGAGGCCGCCTTCAGCTGCAGCCTCCCGGGTTGCGCTTGGGAGGGCCTCTCACCCATCACCTGCCGCCCGCTGGCGTAAAGACAAGCGCTAGGCCTGAGGCAACGTAAGGGACACAGATTGGGTGGGAGGCGATAGGAACTGGTGAAGTAGGTTTGACTTGAAAACTTAAGCTGCTAAACTTAAGATGTTAACTGTCTCCCTCTCCAGAAGCCACCGGGCCTGCTGTCCCCAGAAGTGACCCCCGCTCACGAGGATGCACCTCTGGCTTCAACCTGACCACAAAGCCAGGTCGGTCCTGAGCACACAGCACAGTCAGAGGCCGACACTACTGAGCAGACGTCGGGACACTGCTGTGCGGGAAACGCTCATCTCAATGGGCGGAGAACACGGTCACTGTCTGCAGGGCCACGCCAGGAAGCCCCGAGCTACTGGGAACCTTGGCTTCGTTGCGTGGGCTCAGGTGCCGTTGGCAGCACTGGCTGGCCTGGCAGTACGGGGGTGGGGGAGGCCGAAACCCACAAGGAAAGGACTAAAGTGTTTGCAGAAGGCCTGATTAGGGAGGAAGGGGCGGCGAGAAATCCAGACTAACAGTTAGCAAACACACACACCTCAACCCAAATTCCAAGCACCAAAGAACTGGATTTAAGCCGCGTTCCTATGTGGGGTGACCTCACTGCCAAACATTACCAAAGATGTTGCTTCTTCCCAAACCTATAAACTTGTCACAGACTGGCTTGAACTAATGAGAAGCTGAACTTCACAGGGGAAGCCAAGGAACGAGGCCAGCAGAGCCCCCGCCTCTCTGGAAAGGGGAGAGGAATAGTACAGGCAGAGGCCTTCCCGAGACAGACTGACCTTGTGAAGATGCCACATGGCCCATGGTGAGCCCCTAAGATGCCAGGTTAGTTCACAGAAGGGACTTTAAGAAAAGAAATGGGGTGTAGGCCAGGGGTGTGGGGTGAGAGGATTCACCCGAGACAGAGTGGGGAGCAGAACAGGTGGATCCACTGAAATCAAATGCTGAGGGGAGCAGCAGGGAGACAGGAGAGGTCTGCTGCACACTTTGGGTAGCTCTCTGGCTGGTTGGGGACTGACCTTGTGCCGCAGATAGCTTCATAGTGCTGTGCTTAACCCCTTGCAGCACCAGGGAAGCCCAGAAGTGGCTTCTAAGGCAGAGCAGAGCCTGAAGTGTTTAGCAGGAAATGCCCCACGACATGATCATCCACCCCTTGGAGCATGAGAACCCCCCCGCCCCCCGCAAGACACTAGACCTTTCAGGGACCTGTGTGTGTACCACAGGGACATCCTGAAGCAGGGAAGGATGCATATCTAGGCAGCCACGAGGCCTCTCACTAGTTTCCCCCTCTGGTTTTACAGCACTTACTTCAAAACCTTGTTTGAAGTTACAACGTTGCTAATAAAACTGTACGTGTAATGAGTGAGTCTGGAGGTGGCGCCAGGGTCTGGCTTGTCCTGTCTCAGGGAAGCTGCCAGCCACGGGGGTGGGGACCAGGGGCCTGCGAGCTCCAGGGGTGGTCTGCGCTGCCCCAGGGGCCGCTCCCCAGCACCACGGTACCTTCCTTGCAGGCTGCCCTCTGCTCAGCCACAAGGGAGCCCTCGCGAGCCCTAGAGTCACTGGGCGTCCTGGCTCTACTCCAGGCTGGCTACTTGTTAAGGGCTCCCCACTTCCCGCCCTATGTACCTTCTATATGTTCCTGGTAAGCCTCAAAAATGGCCTCAATCCCTTGCCACTTGCGCCGGGGGGGCTCCTCCTCCTCGTCTTCTCCATCTCCGTCGTCGTCGTCGTCCGAGTCCTGGTCCACCTCCTGCGCGAGGGGGCCCTTCCTCGCCGCCGGGGGCTCCGGCTGTCCGTTGTGCTGGGGCGGGGGCAGCCGGCTTGAGGACTGCAGCTCGGGAATGTTGTAGTGGACAGACGCGTCCACCTTGTGGTTCTGCTCCGCGGACAGCACAGCTATGTTCCCTGCAGGGAGGAAGCAGGCTGTTGGGGGCCGCTGGGCAACCCTGTCTGTGGCGATGGTCTGTGTGATGCAGTCTGGAGGTGAGCTGCCCCAGCTCTGGGCAAGCCTGTGCCCCCCCCCCAGGGAGAAAAGATGCGCCACAGGAAAGCGAGGCAGGCCTCGTCGGCTCTCCCAGGGCTGGTTCTGGTGGGTCCTGCTTAAGTAGAGCCTGCTCTGTCTCCAGGGACCCGGGGCAGGCAGGGGGCTCTGCAGAGCTGGTCCCGAGACCTGCTCTCAACGGGCTCTGCACCCCAGCCTGGCAAGGGCAGGAGGACGTCAAGATTCCTGGGGGACGTCAAGTGTGAAGGGCTGAGATAAAACAAAGCAGGAGGAATGTGTCCCAGGGCCCCAGAAAAGCCCCCGGGCGGCGCGTGTAACCTGCTCACTCACATAGCCACGCAGCGTCTCTCTTGAAAGTAACCCTTTCCAGTTCCTGACACACCCACAAAGCACCCCGCCCGAATCGGGGCTCTATCACTGCACAACCCTGTGGCGTCTTGGCTCTCCTTTTGCCTCCGTTGCCCACATCGGCTTAGACACAGCTGAGGCCACGTCGGGCGCACACTCCCGCCCCCCCCTGCGTAGCCAGCTTTTGGGGCTGCTGGCAGCAGACAGCTTAAAGCGGTTCTCGGAGATGAAAGTGGCTGTTGCGAATACGCGGGCCGACTGCCTGCTGAGCTTTGAGAACGCAGGTCCACTGCGCTGCTTAGTGGGAGTAAATGCAGGGACTCCCTTCTCCAACTTCTAGCGACCCCCAGCAGAATGTCCAGGGAAGTGAATCTGGGGGGCACAGGACCCATGCTACTGGGTCCATTCACTGACACATGGCGAGGCTTCAGGTGGAGCCGGGGTGTGGGCCCGGCCTCGCTGCAGCATGACGCCGGCAGCACGTGCTGTTTTCTCACAGCCTGGTTCACAGAAGAGCAGCGCCCAGTGCCCTGGAATACAGCCCCTCCCCGCACTGGAAGCTGGCTCTTAACAGCTGCCCGGGAGACTGGCAGCGCCCCGGAAACACTGCGGCCCCCTTACCTTTGTGCTTCTGCAGGGCCTTCTGGGTGGACTGCAGCACAGACTCGTGGAACTGGTGCGCAAACTCTTCTGCCACGAAGGGCTCCCATGCCTTGCTCTTCCCGTTGACGCTGTGGGACAGCGGCGCAGCCACGTCCTTGGGCGCTGGGCCCTGGATGTAGTGGAGCATGCTCAGGCTCTTCTTGGGCCCCGGGGCCTCGCTGAGTCGGGGCTTTTCGCCGCTGGCCGGCACTGGCTCCTGGACACGGGCTAACTCCTGCGCCCGGAGGTGCTCCAGTCTCCCCGGCTCCATGGCCTTTGGGACGTCAGACAGGGAGGCGGCGATACCCACAGGCTTCTCGGTATCCAGAGAGGCTTGCTGCGTGGCTGACTCTTTTATTAGAGAAAGAAAGTGAAGAAAACATTACGAGCTCCCAGTGAACAGGCAGGCCCTGACCTCGGGACCCTATACCTAACAGACCCGGCACAGAGGACCAGGCCCAGGACGCGTCCTAGGAGGCAGTGTGCACTGCGAGCTCTAAGTACAGGATGTTAGGCAGCCAGTCCATCCTTTGAAGGCCCCAAGAAGCCCTCTGGGAAGAAGAATCTGAAGAAAGAAGCAAGTCGTTTCAGGTCATCCAAAAAGATAGGAAGCCAAGAAGCCCTGCCCGCCAAGAAAGCCCTGTTAGGAGTTGAGAACACAGATCTCCTGCTCCACTCCGCAGCGTAGCCAAAGCAGCAAGAGAGAAGAAAGATGTGAAGGTGGGTGTGAAGAGGCCAGGAAGGCACAAGGAGCAAGACAGACGTGGGGACGAGTGCCAGCCAGGGCAGATGGGGCAGCAGGTGCGGGGCCTGACGTCAGGCCTCAGGCCCCAGCCCCCAGCCCGACAGATACCCCAATCCCGGCCACTCTGTGGAAGCAAGGCCCACCCCCATCTTGAGCCCCGACCGCTGAGGCTCCTGCTCCTCTGTCCCGAGCAGATGCTCCTGACTGTTGTGCAGGAGGTTGGAGGCAAGAAGCAGAGAAAAGCGCTGTTTTCGAGAGACTGAGGATGAAGATGGCGCCGCATGGTCACGAGGCCCCGGGCAGCCTGGGACCGTCCCGAGCAGCTGCGGAGGGGCCACTGGGCCTTACCGCTCAGGGAGCCGGCAGGACTGTCCCTCGCAGAGGTCCTGAGTGAGTCTGCCACTGCTGCCGACAGGGCCTTCTGCTTCATGGCATGCAGCATCTCAACAAGCCTCTCCTTGTCTATGGGGAAAGCAGCCTGAGGTTAACACGATGGGCGCGTCTTCCCCAGAGCAGGAGACCAGGACGCCAGCCCAGGCCCGAAGGGCGAGGTGGTCGCCGAGCACACAGTGCCACGGGCAGGCACCCCAGGGAGCAGGTGTCACGGCAGATCCCGGGTTCCTCGAGGCCTCCGCTACCTAACGTCTGAGATGCACACCAAGAGCTGCTGTGCCGCATCGCCAGCGCAGCCACGGGGGTACAGGCTGCCACCGCTGCGGTGGCTCCTGAGGATATATTTCTATTTAAAAGACCTCCCGCTCCCCCAAAAAAAGGCCCAACAGGGACATGAACTGCCGACCCCACACTGCTGCTGCCGGGCCAGCTCTGCCCGTGACCGCCATTCATGGGCAGGGGACACAGACCCGGGGCACTTGAGGCCGCAAATTCCTGTTGCAGTGGCGCGTCTTGGGATGGAAACTGCGGGAACAAGTGAGGGAGAAGATGCTGCTGACAGAACGCTGTGGGCCGCCAAGGATGCGGGCGGGCGGGCGGCACACCACCGCCCCAGAAAGGGGGCATGGACCCAGCCTCTCTGGTTACTGACGAAGAGGGAGCCGCCCCGACCTGCACAAGTGGAAGCTTTGAACTGACCAAGCACTTTCCCTACCTTCAACTTCTTTCCAGAAAGAGGCCAGGTGTCAGTTGGGGGTGGGGTTGGAGCAAAGGAGCACCCCACAGAGGCAAGTTCTCATCTGAACTACATCCTGGCACTAAGCCCTAGGGGGGCAGGCCAAGAAGTGGACCCTTCCAGAACTGTTCTGGAAGAGAATAGCCCCCACACTGACCTAGAAGCATCTTGCAATGAGGGTTGGCTTTGCCTGGCGGTCACAGACCACCCCAAGCCATTCGCCCTCAGAACGTGCGGGCGGGCCCTGGCAGCAGCCCACAGAGAGGGACTTCCTGCCCACCAGGGAGCCTGGACCACCTGTCACAGGAGCAGCCCAGTGGGGCCCCCAAACCACCGCCTTGGGCGCTGGGACATCTGGCAAGTGACAAGAGCAGCATCGCACACGAGGTGCTCCAGGATCTGAGGAAGTGAGGCACACCCCGACTTCCACCCAGGACTCAAGACAACAGGCCTCCAAAGGGGCGACTGATCTCAGGAGAAGAGAATCGTGCTGGGCCGAGAAGCGAGGGAGGCCTGAGAGCACAGGGGCTGCGTCCCGAGGAGCCGAGGCCAGGCCCTCCCAGGCCTGCTGGAGCTGGTCCCGCGCCCCTCCTGAGCACCCCCGCCAGGCCCGGGCCCCAGCCAGGCCTCACCTCTCCTCTTCTCCGCGCTGATGTGGGTGAGGTTGAAGATGGTCAGGAACTTCTTCTTCTCTTCAAAGTTGGGGCTGTTGTTCATCTCGTCGGGGCTGTAGCGGGTGGACAGCGCCAGTCTCGGCGAGGGGGTCTGCCGCTTGCTCTGGACCGTGGGGGGCGACGGGCTTCTCTCTCTGAGCATCCGCCGCCGCTTCCTCCGCTTCTGGGTCAGCAGTTCCTCCTTCTGCTGTTGGGTGGTCAAGCCAAAAAGTTGCAAAAACTCTAGCTTCTAGATTGGGAAAGAAAACAGATGGTTTGACACTGCTAGCGGCGGCACACGTCCACGGCCCCAGGGCCCCGGGGTCCTCGGCCTGTGCGCGGGGCCGGCCGGGGGGGGGACGCGCCCGGGGAGGGGGGAGGGCAGCCGCTCGGCGTCACCCACAGCCCCAGATACCTCAGAGGACGTGTCCAGCTTGAGGGGCGGCTGCTCGGCCACGCAGCGCAGGTGGGCCCTGACCTCCTCCTCGTCGCTTTCGTCGTAGGAGTCGTCCAGGTCGTAGTAGTACCCTGGGGGTGACCGGGATGGTGGGCCGGGCAAAGGCCGCCACCCTCCGCCCCTCCCGCCAGGCCAGGTGGGGGCGCACGACCCCGCCCACCCTTGCCGCGGCCTGAGGCAGGGACATCGCTGGCTGACGCCGTCCCTTGCGAGGGGCCACTCATCACACAGGCCGGGCGGTGTCCACGGCAACCCAGGCTGACGGTGCAACCCGCTCCCCCGTGGCGGCCATCTGGGCCCGTCCCCGGGAGGGGCAGGCGCTCAGGCAGAGCTTGGCCAGACCGGGGCGCCCCGCCTCGCACAAGGTGTCGGGAGACCCTCCCTGGGCCCTAAAGCTAGCCTAGCTGTACCCCAGGGCACTGAGCCTGGTCCCAGCTTCTGGGAGGAGGTACGGCGCAGTGCCACACGGGACACACTGGAGCCCCTGCTCCCTCCTGGCCAGATGGGGGCGCAGGTGGGGACAGTGCCCTCACCCTGCTCATCTGTTCTGCTCTCCCGGGCTCTCTGGGGACCCAGCACAGCTGCCTGCCCCCTCCCCACACACAGAAGCGCTGCCCAGACCCCTCGCCTCGTCCCCCGCTGGGAGTGACACCATGGCAGGCCCGCACGAGCAGCCCCCGCTGGGCCCAGGCCTGCTCTCGACAGCCTCTTCCCGTTCGGCTGCATGATGAGTATTTAAAACCCTCTAATTAGCCCATTTGTCACTTAAAACCCTGCATGGTTTGTTTTTTTGGGGACAGTGCGCGCAGCACAGAAGCCGGTAAACCCTGGGGCCCCAAGGCCCGGGAGCTGGAAGCCGGGGCAGGAGGAGGAAGAGGCCGCGTCCGGGCCACCGCGGGACCCACCTTTCTCCCGCGCCTCTCGCCGCCGGCGCTCCTCCAGGTCCAGCTTGCTGACCAGCCTCCGCCGCTGCTGCAGGAGCTCGTCGAAGATGTAGGCGGGGTCCGGGCCCCGGGGCGCCGTGGGCCGGTAGGGCGAGCCTGGCTTCAGGGGCCCACTGAGCTCCCCAAAGGGGGCCGGCTGCGTGAGGGAGGCCCGCGGCTGGCCCAGGAGGGTCTGGGTGGACTTCTCGAGCTCAGCCAGGAAGGGCCCCGGCCCATGAGGGAAGGCCTGGTGTTCCAGGCTCCCTGCCTCCCGGGGCGGCGGCTGGTACTTGTCCAGGGGGGCGGCCTCCCGCTTCCGGGGGCCCTCGTCTGGCTTCTCCGGGCAGTAGACCCGCTCCACCTTCACCAGGGGCACCGCCGCCGGGCGGCTCGGCTCAAAGGGGGCCGGGTGGCTGTGCAGGGGGTGGCTGTCGGGGGCCCGCCGCGGCTCCAGCGTGCTGTCCATCAGGGACACCGGGTTCCAGAGCGCCGTGGGCACGGAGTGGTGCTGGGGCTTGGGGGAGATGAGGGGCGGGGGCCCACCGAAGTGCTGCGGGGGGTCTCGGCCGCCTGGCTCGTGGCGGCTTGGCGCCGGCCTAGGGAGGGAGCAGACCAGCCGGTCGTGAGAGCGGGACACGCCAACCCCGGGCGGCTCGCCCCCCCTCAGAAGTCAGAGCCGGGGGCGTGAAGGCTCCCACACGCGGCCGGGCCGGAGGGGCGCGGCGCCTCTGCCAACCTGCCCGAGAGGGCACGCGGGCCCAGAGGTGGGTGCTGCCTGCGGAGGCCCACGCAGACCTCTCCCCCCACCTCCCCCACGGCCTCGGAGCAGCTCATTCCGTCCCGCTGCTCCCCAGACGCTTCTGGCTGTCAGCACAGACCCTCGTCTCTCCCACAGGGAGACCCGTGGCGGGGAGAACAAGGCGCCGAGGGCGTGGCCCTCCCTGCCCCACGAGGACAGGCTGGTGGCCTGAGATGGGCTCTCGGCTTTCCTCCTCCAGACAGCAGTGGGAGGGACCCGCCTGCGGTGTGTCCAGGCCAGCTGCTGATCCCCATGACCCCCTAGGGTCCCACGTGGCCCCAAAGGCCTGCATGACCTGCACCTCGAGTGCAGGCAGTGGGAGGACGGGCAGGATGTGCCACCTGGGCCCTGCTGACCTACTCTGCAGGGGAAGCCGCACGCAAGCAGGCCCCGAGGGCAAGGAGCTACCAAGGGTGCCCCCAGCTCCTCCTCCACTTGGGGGGAGGCAAAAGGCACCCATGGCAACATGAGGGGTCCTCAAACAGCAAAGCGTCAACCCTGCTAATCAGTCTCATGTACCAGCACCGAGCACGGAATGGTACCCTATCTCGGAGCCCAAAGGGCCCCCCAAAACACCAGGCTCTCCCTGCCCTGCGGCCAAGACAGCCGCCAGCCACTGCAGACCCGCCTCCAACCCACACCAGGGGTCTACCCCCCGCAGAGCACCCAGATTTTGATGTGAGGACAGCTCCCCAGTCAGTCCCCTGGGCACAAGGCCAGTGAGAGGAGCAGAGCGCAGCCCCAGGCAGCCGGGGCGGAGGCTTCGTGTGGCCTCGGCAGGATGCCCTCGGCGCCAGGCCGGCCGGGGCGCAGCGGACACTGCTGTCTGGAGGAGAGCGGGCTGCAGGTCTCCCCCAGTCACAACTGAGCAGCCCACAGTCCCCTCGGCGGGGCTGCTGGGGAGGCCATCCCAGCCCGGGGCCCGCATGACACCCGGCAGCCAGCCCAGCCGGAGGAGGGAGGGAGGGGCGGGGCCGTCCCTGGACAGCGCGGGGGGCTGCAGGCGACAGGCGCTCCCGGATCCGCCAGAGCGAAGGGCATATGCCCGGGGAAGGGGAGCAGCACCCGGTGTCCCTGGGGCCTGGCCCTTTGGGTGTGGCGAGGTGGGAGAAGGGGGTGCTGCGAACCAGAGACTGGCACCCCAGAAATAGGCACAAAGTTTTTCCTTGGGAGAAACAATAGGGTTGAGAAATGGCTTTTTGTTGTGCGTTTTGTAACTGCAAAAGCCACAGAGATTTCTAAATTTAAAACCGAAGGCCGGGCCGCCCTGCTGGCGCAAGGGGTTGAGCACCGCACTGTGAAGCTGTCCGCAGCCTCTCAGCACCAGTTCGATCCCCAGCCAGGGAGCTACCCGCATGGCGCGGCAGACCTCTCCTGTCTCCCCGCTGCTCCCCTCAGCAGTGGATTTCAGTCAGTCTGCCTGTTCTGCTCCCCACTCTGTCTCTGGTGAATCCTCTCACTCCCCCACACCTCTGGCCTGCACCCCAGCTCTTGTATGAATCAATAAATCTTAAAAAAAAAAAAACCAAAAAAACCGAAGGCCACGAAGCACACACGCACACGCGCCAAGCAGGGCAGAAGGGAAAGCCAAGCTCGCAAGTACAGCATCTCTGGGCCGGTGCCTCTGACCGCCGTCCCCGGCCTACCTGGCGCTGTCGGGCCTGTGCTCCGCCTCGGGGGCGCGGGGGGCCGGCCCATGTCCAGGTGCTGCTCCAGGACCTGCTGCCGGAACTCCGACACCTGCGACTGCCGGTCTTCCTTCTCCTGCCGCAGCCGCCGCTGCCGCGCCAGCCACTTCTCCTCCTCGTTGGTGCGCTGGATCAGCAGGGCCGCGGCGGCGCTGCTGCCCGGCAGCGAGAAGAGGCCGTGGTTGGAGAGCAGGCTGGGCACGGAGTGGTGGGCGGCGGGTGCCGGGTGCAGGGGGTGCTGCACGGGCTTGGGCGCCGGCAGGCTGGCGTCCTTCAGCTTCTCTGTGGGGAAAGGCCGCCACGCGGGACTGAGCGCCCGGCCGCTCTCCGCCCGGCACCGCGCCCTGCGCCCCGCCCCGGCGTGGCTCGCGGGACAGGGGGCCAGAGCCGGCCCCCACGCTGCCAGCGGGAGCCTGAAGTCGGGCCCGCGCTCACGGGGCAACAAGGGCACCAACCAAGAGCAGCGCGTAGCCCCGCTGCACTTGAGGGCTGCCAGCACCCCCTCTTCCCCGCACCCGGCTCGCCGAGGCCGCCGGCCGTGCAGCAGGCCTGGGGGAGAGCTCCCGGGGCAGAGGAGGGCGGGGGGCGTGCCGGGCCCGGTCCCCAGGAGAGCAGCCGCCCCGCGGCCGCAGCGGCTACCTGCTCGCGTGGGGGTCAGCTGCTCCGCGGGCTTGGCCCGGTCCTCGGCGTGGCTGCGCAGCCCGTGCAGCTCGGCCACGGGCAGGAAGGCCGGCTCCAGGGCCTTGGCGGCCAGCAGCTCCTTCTCCCGGGCCCGCTGCTCCCGCTGGCGCTCCAGCTCCCGCTCCCGCTCGCGCTCCCGCTCGCGCTCCAGCTCCTTCTCCCGCTCGCGCTCGCGCTCCTTCTCGCGCTGCTCGCGCTCCTTCTCCCGCTCGCGGTCGGCCTCCCGCTCGCGCTCCCGCTCGCGCCGCAGCTCCTCGTCCATCTGCAGCCTGCGGGGCGGGCGGAGGGTTGGGGCTGCAGAGAGGCCGGGAGCCGAGGGAGGCGCCGCGGAGCCCGGGTCGGGGGAGCCCCTCCCGGGACGAGCACGGCCTTGCTCAGCACTCAGGCCGGCAAAGCAGCGCCGGGCGACCCCGCCGACCGCCCGCGGCCCGGGGCTCACCTCTCGGCGCTCAGGCTGGACATCCGCTCGGAGTGCAGCGCCGCCAGCGAGGAGTGCGACAGCTCGGGCGGGTAGCGCACCCCGGAGAGGTGCAGGTGCATGGCCGACGGGTGCAGCGGGGGCAGGGACCCCGGGGTGGGGATGGGGTAGAAGGGGGAGCGCAGGGCCGACAGGCAGTAGGAGTCGTCCATCCTGTGCGGAGCGGACAGGGCCCGGTGAGCAGGAGCCCGAGGGCAGCGCCCCGCTCCGCACGCGCCCCGGCCCGCCCCGCCCACGAGCGGCCGCGGCTTCGAGAAAGGCGGGAACCGGGGAGGCGACAGCTCAGGGGACGGATGCTGGGGCCGACTCCTGGGGTGACCCGGAGGGCGGGGACGGCCGCAGCCCGGCCCCCAGCACACACGGGGGCCGGCCGGGCTCAGGGTGCCGGCGTAGGGGGCGGCCTCACCTGAAGGCGGGATGGGGGAAGGGGTGCGGGGCCAGGTAGCTGGGGTGGTAGTAGGCGGCGGCGGCCGGGTCCAGGCCCAGGGGCGGCAGGGAGGACATGCGGAGGTCCTCCGTGGTGTGGTAGGGCCGGAAGCTCCGCAGGTAGTCCTCAGTCACCGCGCTGGGGGTGACCACGTGGTGCACGGGGCGCTGGAGGCTGCGGGGGGGGGGGGGGGTGAGCGGGAGGCCGTCTCGAGGGACAGCTCCTCGCTGGGGCCCAGGACGCAAAGGTGGGGGCTGCTGCTGTTCCTCGGGTGCGCCTGGCCCATCGGCGTCCCCCCGCCCCAAGTCAAGGGCTGCCACCCAAGCCCGGGGGACTTCCCACCCCAAGCGGGGGTGGAGAGCGGGGCAGATGGGGCGCTGCGTCCCGGGCTCCTGCTCTCAGCCGGTGTAGGCGCAGGCGGAGGTTCAGCCTGGCCGGGGGAGCCCCCCGTGCCCCCAGCCCCGTCCTCACACTTACTTGAGCGGCGGGAAGCGAGAGTCCTGCACGACCGAGCTGGGCGAGATGCCGAAGGGGTAGGGGGTGCTGAGCAGGTGGGAGGCGATGGCAGGGCCCCCCTTCTCCTGGGGCAGCGGGGGCTCCACGATGAGACGCTCCCGCCCACCGCTGCTGCCCCGAGAGCTGGCATCCTGCTGGGGGACGAGGACGGGCTGGGGGAGCCGAGCCAGGACAGGGCCAGGTCTCCCCGACTCCCGCAAGAGCTCGAGGTCGAGCACGTGTGCGAGAATCTCCCCTTCCCCAAGTTTTCCTCCCCAGCGTGGCCCACGTGGTGCGGGGGGCAGAGGGCGAGGACGACCGGGGCCCCTTGCCACGGTCCACGAGGGACGAGGCCCAGGGCAGGGCCCCTCTCAGGTCACACGGCTGCGAATACGGGGGCCCAGGAACCTGGTTCTGGCACCCCAGGAAGCGAGCTCTGCAGGGCAGCAGGTGGAACGGAAGCATCCCGGCCCCCACACCCTGCCGCCAGCTGGGCAGGCACCGGCACCGGGGGAGTGGCAGCTGTGTCGGCAGCTTGCCGGCTGATCGCTGATACCTGGGCTCCCCGGCCCACGGCGGGGAGGGGGACAGGGCCAGGCACCCCAGAAACCAGTGCCGGCCCAGGGCGGAGTGTGCCAGCCTGCCTCCCGCCAACCCCAGGTGGCCCTGGCACCTGCCGGAGCGGGCACCGGCGGGCCTTCAACTGGCTAGGGACCCTCACACCTGTGTGGGGGGCTGGGGTTGTCCAGGGTAGGTCAGGGATGGGCCCCACGCTGGACACCACCAGGCTCAGGGCGTCCACAGTGGCAGCTCCTGGTCTGGATTCTGGGGTCGCCACCAGCTGGGGGCTCCAGCATCATGACAGCCCGACTCAGCCCAGCTGAGGGCCACACGGGCCCAGGCCTACCCTGAGCCACAGGGTGCTCCGAGATCAGGGTCACATACTCCCCAAGTTTCAGAGCATCCTGCGGAGCCTGTGCTGTCACCGCCGGGGCACCCCAGGGCACAAACGTAGGTCTGTCCGTCCCAAATCCATGTCGTGTCCTCTGCGCCACAAACACCCCCGAAGCGAGGGGTAAGCAGCCCGACCGCTAAGCAGGCCGAGAGGAGGGTGTCGAGTCACCCACCCCGCCGGTGCCTCTCCCGACCCTGTGTCTGTTCCTGTCAGTCAGGGGGTGGGGTGCAGAGCCCCCCAACTCCCTGTGTGGGCGGCGGGGGCAGAGGGCCATCCGTCTTCATCCCAGCAGACGCTGACGGGGGCAGGCCGCGGCGAGGCCCATCCGTCAGGCGTATTTACCGCCCGCGCGTGCCAGGCGCCCGCCCGGCTCGGCCCTCCAGAAGACACATCAGCGATAATTAATTGAAGGAGACGGGCCGCTGATTGGAATTTTTAATGAGCAGCAACATCTGTTCCCTCCCTGGCGCTCGGCGGGGCCCTCCGCTCCCGGCGGGGTCCTCGCGGGTTCACGAACTCGACTGGCCCTTCCCAGAAGGGGCGTTCATGGCAGGGGTCAAGGGCGGGACAGACACGCACACTGAGGGCTGGTGGGGGGGGGTGTCCTGGGGCTCCCCAGCCCAAGCAAACAGCAGGGCTGGCTCCCCCGCCTCAGGAGACGGTGCCTGTCTAGCGGGAAGGCCTCGATCTGTGCCCTCGCCACGCTGTGCCTCAGTTTCCCTATCTGTCAAGTGTACCAATCAGGGCAGCTACTCAGTGTCGCGGGGGGCTATCAGCTGCAGACGTCAACGGGAGGTGGGGGTGCAGCTGCCACGTGACGCCCCTATCACAGGGGACGCCATCACGACACCTGCCCACTGCACTGCCATCCAAGGGGCCCTTCCCAAGCTGTCTGCCCAAGGAGCGGGCTAGGCACTGAGCTCTGGGCCCCCTGCCTGAGGCCAGGGCAGCCGGGGGTCAACTGTGACCCCAGGACAGCACAGTCCTTGACGGGCGGTGCAGCAAACCAGGCGGTCACCTGCTGCCCGATGGCAGGGGCAGGCCCCTGAGCTCGCAGTCTCTGGCCCAGGGACGTCCCTGGAGCCCCTCACTCGGAGGGAACAAAGGCCAGCCTGAAGACGCTGGGCCAGATGGCACCTTCCGGCCAGGCCGAGGACAGACGGGGCCCGCAGCTGGGGGGGCGCGGCGGCAGGAGGGGTCAGCACCAGACCCACGCGCCTTCCGTCTGGCTGCAGCCGCCAAGCCCGGGCCAGCTCGCCCCGGGGCTCGCGGGGCCGCCCTGCGTAGTGTGTGTGGGGGCGGGGGTGGGGGTGGGGGGCGAGCAGCAGCCCTCGCCCGGGCCGGCCCGTGGCCCAGCTGGCACCCAGACAGCTCCGCCACCCCTGGTGCGCGTGCGCACACACCACACACACGCGCACACACGCAATTGTGGGGCAGCTTTTGCTTTCCGGGCGGCTGCCAGAGCGCAGCTGGAGGCGAGAGAGGGGAGGGGCGGGGGAGGGAGGCGCCTTTCTCGGGCGATGGCGGGGAGGGGCCTGCGGCAGGCAGCCCCCCTGCCTGCCCCCCCCCACTTGAGATGCATTTCCATTTCATCGGCCCTTTGAGGCTCCGGCACCTGGGGACCGCCGGGGCGCCCCGCTTGCCTCCCCAGTCTACCGTGGGCAGGAGGCAAGCCCCCACCCGCCTTCACGTCTCGCTGGGTGTCCCCCCACGATTACACGCTCCACCCCTCCCCCGTCAGCCGGTGGCAAAGCTGCTGCGCTCCGCCCCGGCCCTCTCTGGGGTCACTACGTGTTTTGAGGCGCCAAGGACTCTCCAGCGAGGCCTCTGAGAGGAGGAGGCCGCAGACAAGGGGCTGGGGACCCTCCCTCCGGAACCACCACTCCCCCGGGTGGGGCTGACTGGCTGAGGGTGGCCGGCACCAGGCTCGAGCCTGGATGTGCCAGGTGCCCGGCTGGGCTCACCTCAGGGGAGAGGACGGGCCTTTGCAGCCAGGTGGCCAGAACAAAGGCCAACGGGGAGCTGAGGGCCTCTGGAGATTACCTCAGCGAAGACCCCCCACGCTCCCCCAAACCAGGACAGGAGTGGCTCAGCCGCTGCAAACCCCCGTCCTGTCTCCAGAGCGAAGGGCACCAGGCTGCTGGCTGCTCCAGGGTGTCAGGGTCCCCCTGGGGTTCCTCGACCCCTCACCCTGGGTCAGGAGCTGCCCCAGGGAAACCCGCCAGAGGCCGGCTGCCCCTCAGGGGCAGTGAAGAGACCCAGAGCGCAGAGCGGGGGGTCCTGGACTCATCCCCGCCCCCAGTCGGACACAGAGCTGGGGGGCCCAGCCTCCCCTCTCAGCTCTCTCAGCAATGTAATCAGCATTGCCCAGCTCTGCCATCTCTGGGGACCTGCCACCACCGGGGCGCCCTCTGGGCAGGGGTGGGGGCCAGGCAGACCCAGGGCAGCACCCAGGCTTCCCGGCCCTGCGCGCCGTGTCTTCGCTTGGGCACCGGGTGGAACGTGCGCCTGGTCACGCGCGCAGCAAACACCCTCCACGCACTCACAGGGGATGCAGGCGACCTGCCCCCCCAACTCCTGTGCTGAAGCCCTGACCCCCAAGACCTCAGAACGTGCTCGGAGCCGCAGCCGGACCCCTACACAGGGGACGTGACCCGGGCCACCAGGCCTGCTCCACCCCTCGGGGCCCTTGTAAGGGATGCGGACCCGACACAGAGGGCTGAGGCCTCGGGGGCCCGGCGCTGCCACCGCCGGAGCCGCAGACTCTCCTCATCTGCAGGCCTCACCCCTACTCTGCAGCAGAGACAGGGGCTCAGGCGAGAACTCACTGGGGCAGGGGACGGTGCGATCTGAACCCTGAAATCCAGTCCTTCCTTACAGAGGCCACCCCTGGCTCCACCTCTGTCCCCGCGCCCGGGACTCACCTGACGACTCTCGCTCCTCCAGACGCCGTTGACAGTCTTGGTCGGGGCGATGGTGACCACGGGCGGCGTGCTGGGGACACTGTGGCCCCCAGGGGGCACGATGATGGGGCCCATGGGCACGCGCTTGGGCGTGCTGGCGGGGGAGCTGTGGTTGGTGGCCGGAGAGGACACAGGGGACGACTCGCTGCTCAGTGAAGACCCTGCAGGAGAAGGACACGGGGTGAGTGGGCCTGAGAGGCCGAGACCCAGCCCCGGCGCGGGCACAGGCGCCTGCCTGGCCGTCCCACCCGCCCAGCAGGGTCCCCACACGCGGCTGGGGGAGCCGCCACCACGAGGGGCAAGGGCTGTGTGCGCTGGAGGCTGCGAAACCCTCAAGTTTCACCCAAAGCCCCTGGGTGAGGGTCACAGGACGCCATGGGGGTAGGAGAGCCACTGGCCGGGGTGCGGGGTGGCCAAGGGGGGCTTTTGTTTCTTTTTAAACGTATCAAACACTTATTTGCAAGAATTCCAAGCAGAGAGAGTTCCCCAAAGGACAGACGCGTGCTTCCAGGACGTCGGGGGCTGCGCCCTGCCTGCCGAGGGAGGTGGGGTGGAGGGCAGGGCCTGGGGGTGAAGGCAACTGTGCCCCAGCGCCCCACACCTTCCCTGCAGCCCCCAGTCTCTCGGGGTGACCCAAGTGCCTGTCCAGGCCCAGCGAGGTCTGATCTGCAGTCAGGGGTCGGGACCTGGATTCACAGAGGCCGTCGCAGACCCCACGTCAGCTGACCGTCGGGGCAGCACGGGCTGGCAGGTGACCCCTGGATGCAGGACACTGTAGCGACGCCGACTAGCACAGCCAAGGAAGGGCACCTCCACACCCTACCAGCGGCTCTGCGGGCCCGGGGCACCCACCCCACCCGACTCCAGGACGCCAAGGGCAAATGGGGCCCCTTTGAGGAGGTACACCCGGGCAGGTGTCTGCAAAAGCCCCACCTGGGGGCACCTGTTGCCCAAGGAGGCCTGGGGGAAGAGCAGGAGCCAGCACAGCCCCCCTCGGGAAGGAGTCCTGTCGACTTCCATGCCTGCGCCCCGGCTTCACTGAGACCCTGCCCTCGCCCCCAGGCCAGCGCAAGTGGCCACACTCAAGCGACTAACAAAAATACCTGCTTGCAGGGGGGCTTACACTCGGGTGCGGAGGTGGAGGTCCTGACCCAGTGGTGTCACTGTGTGAGGGGGCACCCCAAGGCTGGGACAGAGCTGTGCTCCAAGCAAGGCCCTTTCCATCCGAACCCCTAGACTTGTGGTCAACTTGCAGACTGTCCAGGGCAGGCCTGAGTCTGGTCAGCTGTGCCCACTGACCCCCAGAAAGAGGCCGAGGCTGCCCCTCCTGGCCAGTGTCCAGGCTAGGTGGGCAGTGAGCTGTTGCCTGATGCACACTGCCCAAAGGGGTGGCCCCCGACTCTCCAGACAGGCCAGCAACCAGAGACGCACTGGGTCTACACCCGAGGCTGTGCCGCGGGAAAAGCCCGTTTCAGGCGCTCGGGGCGGGGTCTTGTGCAGATCCAGTGGTGGGGATGGCCCCGGGGACGGCTGGGCAGCGCCCACCCTGACAAGTCAATGAAGGAACATCCAGGCAGGCGGCAGGGTGGGCGGGCACCCTGAACCCCTCCCGGGGCCATGCAGCTTCAGGCAGCCAGCGCCCACGCCTGGCCCACAGCCCCACTCCAGGCCAATGCCAGCCCCAAAGGCAAACTACCCCCAGGCCCAGGCATGGCCCAGAGGGCCTGGTGGGGCGGGCACAGCGGCCCTCGGCTGCCCAGCGAGAGAACACCGGGGAGGCACAAAACAGACGCCATGTGAACCCAGAAGGTTCTGCCCTCTGGGGACTGCAATGGCAGGGCCGCCTGGGGGCCAGCCTCGGCCTGGCGCCTGACCTGGGTGGGGGCTTCCTCGGCGCTTGTCCCCCGGGCACACGTGGCCGGGGGTGCTCCTGCAGCTACTTAGATCTGGATTCGCCGTTCCCTTGAAATGCTCGAAAGAAACACCAGGCCTCGGCCCTTTCTCATTAAAAAGGCCACTTCCATGGACGCCGCACAGCTCCCGAGGGTTTGGACAGCGCGAGCGCCCCCCCATGCCGCGCCACCCGCCAGCAGCTTCGGAACAATTCCCTCACCCCAAACACAGGTGACCCCCAACCCCTGCCCCCCGGCATCTCCACGACAGGCCTGTTCCCGACACTCCGCGGCTGCACTCACAGGGCACCGGCCTCGCGGGGAGGGCGCGTCTGCTCCGCCGCCATCCCACGGCCGAACCATGCTCCAGTGTGGAGGGACCCCACCGGCCTGTCCCCTGGGCGCAGCCGTCGGCATCCACCCTGGCCCCGCAGAGGGCTCTGCCGCATCTAGCGCTCTAAAATATACCTTGGCCTTGGGGCCTCAGGGGACCTACTGTGTGCCCTGCTGACCCCCCCTCCAGGCAGCCCATCTAACTCCAGTGCCCAGTGCACGGGAAGGGCCAGTTCCGCCTGGAGACAGAAGGGACAGAGACGAGCAAACACCAAGCCCCACCAGCCCGCTGGCAGGGCCGACGGCCAAGGCCGAGTGACCAGTATCCAGCTGCCGGGAGGAAACGCTGGGGCCAAAGGTCAAGTGGGTGCTGGGTAGGGGTGGGCAGATGGAGCAAGGAAGCAGGAAGGCGGGGCCTCACCCCCTGTCCAAGCAGGGAGCTTGCGACCCTGGAGGTCGTGCCATCTGCTGCCAGGGGTCTCGCCAGCCAGCTCCCGATGCCCTCGCCCCCCCAGACCACCTGCCAGCTCTGAGATCCACCCATGTCTTGGCTCAGGGTTGGGGGCAGGGGTGAGGAGCAGGAGGGCGGGTAGATAACTGGGTGCGCAGGTGCACCTCGCCCGCCTGCTGTCCAGCCCCCGGGGCGCAGCTGGCACAGCACCCTCGAGCCCGACAGGCGGTGCCAACCTGTTCTCGCGCACAAGGGCTGAGAGGCGCGTCCCGCTGAAGCCACATGTGGACCGGACAGCTGAGCCTGAGAGAGCACCCCAGGGGCCGGCGCGTGGAGACCCCAGTCCGCGAGGGGAGCAGGAATAGGGCCCCCAAAGTGAAACTGCCAAGTGTAGCAGCCTTTCAGCTCGCCACGCCACACCAACCAGCCGAGCCGCAGCGAGGAGCCCGGCCCGGTGCCCGCGCCCCTGCCGGGTCTGGGTTCCCCGCACAGCCCTGTCCTTGCCCTCAGTCTCCAGCCCAGACAGAGAGCCCAGGCCGCGGACGCGTGTGACGGGACGCCGGCAGGAGCCGGAACGCAGCTGCGGGACCCAGAGGGCCCGGGCTCAGGATGGCCTCCTCGTCCCAAAGCCGACGGAGTGGAAATGGCGCGAGGACGAGCAGGGCGTGAAGCCCCCACGACCAGCAGAGGCGCAGGGAGACCCTCTGGATCCCGCCACGCCCGAGGGGACGGCCCGATGCACACAGGGCCACCCTTGGGCTGAAGCTAATGGCTCCCACAATCTGCAGTTTTGGGGCAACCCCACTGAACAAAGGGCCACAGGGGCCGCCACCGACCAAGACCTGGCCCTCCCCACCTGCGCCCCAGTCTAGTCTCTATGGCGGAGGCCCCGCATCCTCGCCCCTCAGTCGGAGGCGTAGCACCATGAAACGTGTCCGGGTGTATGTGGGGGGTCTCTGGGAGCACAACAGGGGCTTCAGTGTCAGATGCGCAAGGCTGCAGGGTTGGGGTGCACGAGTCTGAGAAGCAGCACAATGAGGGAGGTGGGGGGTCATGAACTAAGTGGCACCAAAGGGGGACCTTTTGGGGGGCTTCTGGGAGAAGACTGAGAACCCCCTCTCCTCTCCCCCTATTGCACCCAAACCCAGCTACTGCTGGAGAAGCGCAGCCTGCTCACCCCTGGGCAGGAAGGCGCCCTGGGGACGCCCGACTGACACGCACACACACGCCCGGAGGACCCCTGCCCTCGGCGCTGGGCCACTCTGTGAAAAAGGCAGATTTCAGGGGTGCAGGACGCCAGAGCCCAGCCCTGTGGAGGCCGGCGGCGGGCAGGTGGTGTCTCCCGCCTCAGCGGGAGGCCCCACAGCAGCAGGACCCAAGCTCCACGGGCCCCACCCCACGGTCACGGTCACAGAACCGCCGCCGGCCCTGACGGGACAAGGCCGGCGCCGACTGGCTGCCGAGTCAGCGGGCGGCCGTGCCGGGGTCTCCGCCTGCGCAGCAGACACCGCCGCCCCGCCAGCCCCGTCCGTCCAGCCCAGGTAAGGCCGGGGCGGCTGGGCTGCGCTGCTGACACCAGGTGTGGCTTCGGCCGACCCCCTCCAGCGCGGGCCCCCAGTCCGAGAGGCCCCCGGAGACCCAGCCTGCCGGCGGCCGGGCATGCGGCAGGAGGCACGAGGGGGACACGGGATGGCGAGCGGGGGCGCGTTTCCGGGGGAGGGGTGGCGCCGGCCCCCAAGTCTCAGGCGCCTCCCCCACGGCTGAGGACACGCCAGCCCCACGCTGGGCTCCATGGCGGCGCCGGCTGCAGCAGGAAGCGAGCAGATTGTCACACAGCTGGTGGGAGTCGCCGCCTGGCAGCAGCCTCGGCTTCGTCACGCTCAGGGACGGCGGGACTGGGGCTGCCAGACCTGCCCTGTGCGGGGGTAGGGCCTCCTCCAGGAGGGCGGGCCGGGCCAGCAGCTGCCGGGCACCGCCCAGGGAGGACAGGGCCCGGCGCCGGATGCAGAGGAGGGAGGGTCCCGGGGCACCCTGAGGCCAACTCCAGTCAGACCCCAGGTCTGCGGCCCGAGGGTCCTCCCAGGCCCCGCTTTGTCCCAAGGAGCCAAGACAGGCTCAGGGGCGGGACACCCCCACGCCGTCGGGCAGACGCCAGGAGCAGCCTCGGTGGACACAGACTCCCAGGCACCCAGGCTCGTGTCACCCAAGCGCGGGTCCAACGCCGCTGGCCCGTGACCCAGGGATGGCTGTGGGGTCAAGGAGCCCCCCCACTGCCCTGCTCTCCGCGCGCAGCCCCCAAGATGCCTGGGCAGACAGGCGGCCTTGCTCCCGCTCTGGGCAGACGGGGTCTCCCGGTGCTGGTGAGGGCTCAAGTCCAGCTGCGGGGAGGAGGGGCAGGGGGAGATGAGCAGGCCCACCTCGCTCACCCCACAGGCCGCTGTGCCCCCCAGTGTTCTTGGAATCACTCAACCAGGAGCTGAGGCGTCATCCTCACCCTGAACAAGGCTCCGCGCAAAGCAGCCCGCCCAGGCCCACCCGCCTCGCCCCTGCCACCTCCCCAAACCCGCCAGGGACAAACAGGCCTGGGGGCCTCGAGAAACTGCGCCCAGGGAGGGAGGGAATTCTGCGGCACGCCATTGCATCCTCTGACCTAGGCCTCTCAGCGGCACCCCGAAATGCGACCAGGGCTGGTGGAGGGAGACAGCAGCACGAGGGCAGGAGTGAGCATGATCCAAGCAGCCGACGCCAGGGGGTGGGGGGCAAGTTGCGCCCAGGAGGTCTCTGACAAAGGCACCCTTCTGCACCCCAACCTGCACAGGCTGGTGGGACCCCTAGGGTCACCCTGACCCCCAGATGCCAGCCCCTCCGAGGGGACTGGGGGTCCTCTCGCCCTGTTCTGGGGCACCCCACAGAGAAAGCAGGGTGGGGGCAGCGCCACGGGCTCGGAGCTGTGGCGTTCAGTCCTCCAGCAAGACGGACGCAGGCGGGTTGGCGGGGCAGGAGCCCACCCGCCGCCCGGCACCCAGCGGGCACGGCAGTGACGGAGGACGGCCCCTGCGGGCCTGCCCCTCACGTCCCCAGCGACAGGTGCGTGGGCCACCGGGGGCGGCAGGCGTGACTGGTAGGGGCACAGGCTTTTGGCTGGGGCGACGACACTGGACTCGGTGGTGGCACAGCCCGAATACGCGGACCTCACAGGAGCCCCTGCCTGGCCCCTTTCCAAAGGGGCACCTGAGGGTCTGTGACTAGCGCCTCCCCGTCAGCCACAAGCCGAGCCCCCCACCCTGCCGCCAGGCCACGGAGGCCCGTGGGCTGCTCTGGACACAGGGGCGGCCGAGGCAGAACCAGCGAGCGGCACAGGCTCCTGGGTGGGTGGGTGTGAGGGGCGGGGCCTCCCCGGCTGCCGAGGTCCCCAGGGGCGGTCTCCAGCTGTGTGACCTGGGACCTACCGCTCGACGGCTCTGCTCCTGGGCGTCCCCAGCCGCACAAGGGGCCAATCTATGGGTGACGGCGAGGCCGGGGCCACTGAGATGACCAGGGGGAGCCGGGGACACTCGCATGCAGCACCTGCGTCCAAACTGAAGCCCACAGGGTGGCCCGGCTCCCAGACCCGGCGCCACGCGGTCGCGGGTCACACAGAACACCCCGGCACCCCCGGGGCTCACCCTCGGCTGCGGCCCGCTCTCCCTCCGCCCACCGCCTTCCTCAGCGGGGAGGGAAACGTTGCCATGTCTGCTGCAGATGGGGGTGTCACCCAGGACTGGGGCTCAGAGGCCCAGGAGGGGACACAGCTGCAGGAGGAAGCCGCCACACTCAGGGTGACTCAGGCCAGACAGAGCCAGCACCCTCCCACGTGCTGACACTCACGTCTGAAAGCTGTGCCAGCCCCGGGGGGCTCGTCGCCTCAGGAGACCCCCGCCCCAACAGGGCGTCTGGATGGGCCTGGACAGGGAGTGGCTGGCCTCCTCGGGGCGCCTGCCCCTCGGCCGCCTGGCATGCCTGGCCCAGAGCAGCGGTGCCCCTGTAGCAGCTGGCTCAGACGCGGCCCGGGAGTGTGAGACGCGCAAGGTCAGCCTGGGTGGACAGAGCAACCTCGGCGGGTGGAAACCGGCAGCAAAGCAGAAAAGAGGTGTGGGGGAGGAGGCGGGTCTTCCCCCCCGGGGCTGTGTCCAACCTGCCCATCAATTTCAGGTTTGGTCCTTGCGCCCCTCCTCCCCTGCCCACCGAGCAGGGAGAAGGCGCCAGAGACGGCGGCTCACAGACCAGGAGAGCCCTCGGCCCCTGGGGCCGGCAGACGGCTGCTGCTGAGCTGGGGTCTCCAGCGCATCTACAGGCATGAAACCTACACACGCCCTTGGGGTGCCGCAGAGGACCCCAGATGCCAAGCCCCGGACCCTGGGGCAAGACAGACAGCAGGCAGAGGTCCCCAGTCCCCCAGCAGCAAGTCCAGTGGGTGTCTGAAAGGCCCAGCCCTCCCTACACACAGACCCCCAGAACCGCCAGAGCAGAGCGCCTGGTGGTCTGAACTGGGAACGCTGACGCTCAGAGAGGGTCAGCGCTGGCCCAAAGCCACACAGCACACCCGCACAGGCCACACACAGGGTCAGGGCTCTGGACCCCCAGGGGACACCAGATGCCCCCCATGCACTCCCTGCCTCGGGGCTAAGCAGTGGTGGGGTGAGCTGCCCCAGAGAACCCTGGGGCCCAGCCAGCGTCCCTGAGGGACTCGCACGGGGACAGGCGTCCAGGAGCGGCCGGGGCTGAGGGGAGAGCATCGGACAGGGCGCCCCCCAGCCACTTGGGCCCCCTGCCCTGCCCTGCCCCGCGCCTCAGTCACCGCGCTCGCTACACCCAGGGCGGCCCGAGCCGAGGCGCGCAGAGGCAGGCGGGGGACGCGGGCGCGGAGGTGTGGCCGGCGGGGACCCCGGAGGGTCTGCGGTGCAGCCGGCGGCCCGAGTGGCGGCAGGCCTGGCGGCAAGGCCGGGAGCGCCGGGCGGGCGCCTCTTACCTCTGGGCTCCTCCGCCTGTTTGGCGAGCTTGCGCAGCGCAGCGGCAAAGCTGGAGGACGGCGCGGCCTGGGCGGACAGCGCGCTGCTGGCGGCGGGGCTGCCGCTGGGCACCAGGGCGCCATTGAGCGGCGAGGGGGTGAGGGGGTTGACGGTGGCGGTGGTCCTGGTCGCGGTGGAAAGCATCCCTAGCGAAGGGGACTTGGGCTCATGGCTCATGCCTGAAACAGGAAAAGAAGAACCAAGGTCACCCAGAGAGCAGAGCGCCAGCGCCCAGCGGGTGGGCGGCATGCAGGGCGAGCGGCCGCAGGACAGGCGAAGCAGGGCAGAGCCAGCGGGCAGAGAGGGCGGCCGGGCCGGGGGAAGAGCGCGCCGTCCTCCGAGCGGCCAGGGCTCGGCAGGGAGACGGAGGCCAAGGGAAAGACGCCAGCAGAAGGGAAGGGCCGAGCAGACGCGCGGGAAGGCACCGCCGCCGCCGGGCCTGTCGCCGTCCCCGCGCCGCAGACAGGACACGGACGCTCGCACGGGGCCGCCGGATCCGAAGCCGCCGGGCTGGCTGGCCGGGGCCCTCGCTGCCACCCTCGCCCTCTGGAAGCACAAAGTCACCAGGGGCCCTGCCGGGCCCCCACCTGGGGAGGCACCGAGGCGCGGCCTGCAGAGGCGAAGGGGCAAGACCGCCTGCCCGCGGGGACTGGGTTCAGGAGGCGCTGCCTCGGGGTGCCACAGAGGCCACAGGGAGGACCCGCCCAGGGCCCCGGCCTCACACCCTGCCCAGGTGTGAATGAGGCAGCCGGACTCCCTCCCCCCATCACGCGGCTCAAGGCCAGTCTGTCTCGGGAGGGCAGGCTGGGCCATAAATAAGTTTTCCATTAACGTCCCCTGCCCTCTCGGGGCCACCTGTCCGGGCCCCATCTCTCGCCACTATGCGTCCGAGGGGCGTAAATCACACCGGCGGCCTCCAGCTGGCGGGGCGGCGGGCCGCGAGTGGGGAGCCGCAAATCGAGTCTCCAAGCCCCAGAGACCTGGGAGGGGGGTTCCAGGGCCCAAGGTGGTCACCCGGCCAGGGGACCGGGGAACACCCAAGAACACGAGTGGCAGGAGGGCGGGCCCCCAGGCTCCAGTCTGCACCCCAGGGCCTTCCACTGCCCCAGAGCCTGCCTGGCCTCGCCGACTCCGAGTCAGGTCCCAGTGAGTCTGGCTGAACCCGCTTCATGCCCCGTCTGTGGGCGGTGAGGCACAGACGTGTGGCCAGGCAAATGCGGGGTGCCCACAGGGGGCCTGACAGGGGCAGCTGGGAGGAGTGGCCAGCCCCCATCCCAAAGCCCGGGGTCCTGAGCGCCAGGACATGCTGGCAGCCACGGCTCTCCCACTGGGTGGGAAAAGGAATCTTCCGGGGTGCAGGTAAGTGCAGTTGCGGGGGGTGGGGAGGGACATCACATAAAAGACAATATTGAGGCCGAGCGAGCCAGCGCGGACTCCATTCTCTTGGACGAGGGCTTGCACCTCGGAACAAAGGACCCCCACGGGAGCGCCTGTCCATGGCCAGCAGGCCGGCTCCCAGCTGCCAGCCCGGCCACGTGGGCAGCCACCTCGCGGGGGCCAGGCCCAGCAGTGCCCGTCCCAACCCGGAGGCTGCGTGTCTTCCCTCTTTTTGGAAAGGGGAGCAGGAAGGGAGGCTGTATGCTCACCCCCTGCCAAGAGCTCAAAGAAGAAACCCCAAAACCCAGGAACCGAGTCCCGCCCAGCAGCCTGATTTTCAGAAAACGCAGGCTGCTGGCTGAGGAGCCCTTGCAGGCTAAGCCACACGCGCCACCTGGAGCCACGCTGGCCGGTGCCCGGGGCTCCCCCAGCTCTGCCGCTGCACCTGGGTGACCTCAGACCGTCACTCTGCTCCTCTGGGCCTCATGCTCCCTGGCTGTAAAGGGGAGTCAAGGGCAAAGCCTATCCACAGGTGGCTCCTGTGAGGATTTAGGGAGCTAATTCACATGCTTGAGCACGCCCGGCACACACCAGCACCCCAACTATCACAGGCGGCCAGGAGGAGCAGGGGCAGAGACCCAGGTCTCAGGGGTCAGGCCAGGAAACCCACACCCCAGGGGTCGATGTGTCGCCCGTCCCCTGGAGACAGACGTCACAAGACCGCAGTGCCCACCACAGGACCGGGCACCCCACAGCCTGGCGCGCGGAGGGTCAGCAGCACACGTCCCTGAGGGCGGGTGGGAGGGGGCGGCGGGTCCTCAAGATACACGGAACCAGAGGTCTCGCCCGCTGCCTGTGGGGCATACCAGGGGATATGACCCCACACAGGACTGCACTGGCACCCACACTCGGGGGCTGTCGCATTTTTTGGGGGGTTGCTGGAGATGCTAGATGACATTAAATGGGGCTCCTTTATGCAGTCTCAGAACTCAGTGGTCACTGCGGCCCCACTGCAGGCCAGGAGAGGCCACCACAGAGCCACCCCCATCCTCACCCACGCCTGCCCTGCTCGGCCCTAAGAATGGGAATCCGAGGCCAGGAAGGTTCGAAGCCTAGTCAGGGTCACACAGCACGTCTAGGCCTGGGACCCTGGGGACGCCCCTGCCCAGGCCTCACCCGATGCCCCCGCCGACAGCCGACACACGCCTGACCACAGCGCCTTTACGATCACCTGCCCCGTCTGCCTCACGGTCCTTCAGGAACAGGCAGACCCCCTCCTCCTGGACGCGGACAGGACGCAGTGACAGGCAGGTGCTCCCTCCCGGAGCACGCATGCGGGCAGGCTCAACAGCTGGTCCTCCCGCCCGGATGAGTCCACAGCCCCGGAGGTGACGCGTGGGAACTTCCCGGCCAGGCTGCCCCCAGCTGCTGAGGTCAGAGGCCACCTGTTATGTGGCTGAAGTGGGGGTCACTGCCCCTTCTCCAGAGAGTGACCCTCTCAGTTCCCCAGAGTGCCAGGTCCAAGCAGGAGCCAATATTGCTTCAGAAATGCGCCCCTCTGATGCCTTCACCACCCTCTTCCCGCCACACGCAGGGAGCGGACCCCTCAGATCACCGCCCTGTCCAAGGAGAGGCTACCTGAGCGCGGTGCCCACGCCCTCCTCATGAAGCTGGTCTGGGCTCCGAGCCAGCCCTTCGCTGAGGCAGGGGAGACTGGGCGCTGTCCTGGGAGGGGCTCACCCCACCCCTCCAGGCCAGGGGAGCCGGTGTGAGGCCCCTGCCCAGGAGCCCCGCAGCAAGCAGGCCGGCCGGTGGGAGAAGCAGGGATGCTGTGGCCACAGCTGCCAGCGCCGGCTGGACGGCAGAGGTGCCGGGCGAGGCAGGGGTGGCCACAGCGCAGTCCTCGGCCAGACCCACAGTACCACACACTCTGCTCCTCAAGGCCGGCGGCGTCTGCAGGTGGTGGCCAGAGCGTCCCTTTGGCTTTGTCCTCACCACTATGTTCTAGTATTTCTGCAGCGATCCTGGTTTTTTAAACCGGGGGAGGGGAACATCCACAAAGAGGAGACGCCTCTGCATGAAGCCGGTGTAGCCAAGGGAGTCCCCCAGGCCAGGCCTCCCTCCGGGCCAGGGCAGAAGCCAGGGAAGTGGGTGTCCCTCTGGGAACGCACGCCCTGGGGCAGCCCCACCGCTCCTGTCCCTGGCGCAGCACTGGTGCCACCGTCACCTTCCCTGAGCTGAGGGACGTACCGGGCACGGTACTGCCCTCCCCCCAGACAGAGCCTGGCACCTGCTCCCTGGGTGTCCCCCAAAGCCAGTGTCCCCGCCACGGTGTCAGCCATGGGCTGCGGAGGGGCTGCGAGCCAGGAGAGCCGCTCTGATGTCAGGTCACTTAAAATAGAATTCCAAATGAGCAGCTTCATTAGGGGAGTCTAAAATTAGACTCCTCTGCAGCGGGCGCGCAGGAGGGGCAGGCCGGGAGGCGGGGCGCGGGACCACCAGCAGCTCCTGCACCTAAGACAGAAGGCAGGGGCCAGCCCGGAGACCCTGGGAGGGGTCCCCCTGGACCTTCAGGAGAGGGACACGGTCTCTAGGGTGCACCTGGCCGCTCAGCCACAGGCGGGGGTCACTGCAGGGCTCCCCCGCTGCTCTACACCCCTCCCTGGCCCCGCCCACACAGGTGCTCTGAGCTTGGGCTCACCAGGCCCCACAAGACGGCGGAGGGGAGGGGGCCCGGGCAGCCCCCGCGCCCTGAGAGGCCCCAGGAGAGCACAGCCTGACCCCCCCGCCCTCATTAGAGCGGCATTTATTAACTTCTGCACTCCCGGCCATTGACTGAATTCTTGTCTACATTATCAGCTCATGTAAATTCATTACCCCAACAGCTGGGAGACGCTCCGCAGCGTGAAGGCCAGTGATGGATGAGGCCGGGGGAGCGGGGCCGGGGAGGGGGTGGCTGCTCTCAGCACAAGCCCCCGACATGGGCCACATGTGCCAGCGCCAGGCAGGTGGCGGCGATGGCGGGGCCTCCGGGCTTTTCCCTGCACCCCGCGCCCGGGCCCTCCTCCTGCGAGGCGCCTCCTGCCACGGGCCCCTCGAGCCCTCGGGAGGAAAGAGCCTCCGCAGCCAGACAACCAGCCGCCCAGCCCTGAGCCCAGGCCTCGACCCATGGAGCTACGAGCGAACCCAGCTTTCTGGCCTCCTGACCCTGCCGGCTGTGCCCCCGAAGGACCCGGCCCCACCAGCCGGACAGGAGGGACTGGAGGGGCAGAACCACCCCCTGCTGCCCCCAGAACACTGGGGGAGGCCCTGCCTGCCTGCCCTGTGGCCACACTGCGGTCTGTGGAATCGATCCTACTTTTCTCTGCCCGGGTCTCTAAGCACAAAGCTTAAAAAAACACAAACTAGAAAGAATCCCAGTGCGGGGGGCGGGCCCGGCAGGCAGGGCGCGGGGGGCTTCCAGAGCCCACCTTGCCCCGCTCTCCCCCGCAGACCCTGGCGGGGCGCCTGCCGGCCCAGCGCTCAGCTCAGAACAGCAGCACGAAGAAAGGGGGGCCCCTAACACTCCATTAAATATGGTCCCGGCTCCGAGGCTCCTCTCCCTAATGGTGCGAGGGGCCTCATTAATCAGCAGGCCCAGGCCTCCCTCCCAGCCCCCCGCGGACCCCGTAATTACTGCTTCCTTTCATCCCTGTTCTTCCGAGGCACCAGACCTCAGGCCTGCTCCCTCCAAGCTCTGTAATTACAAGCTAATAGCTGAGATGAATTTTCTGCTGGGCCCGGTTCAAGCACCAATCCGCCC